GTAAGAACTGACAGTAGCCATGGATGCTGGCAATCATGTTTACACCATTTTTGAGCCTAGTTCAGGATATTTAGTCAGAGTACTAAATTTTACTGTGTAAAATTGTAAGGGAAACATTAAAAAAATGAAACAAAATAAAGACTAGAGAATCTCTTTTTAACATAATAGTTAGGGATTGTGTGCTTTTTTGTATTTATAAAATATTAGGCAATAATACAATCCTGTCAGATATATATCCTTCCAGACACATCCTTGCAATATGAAAGACATTTTTGTATATACCTTGATTGCTCTAATTAAATATTCTTCTGAAACAGTGCTAAATTGGTTTCTCACTTATTCCAAATTCTGTATTTTCTCTCTCTTACACAATCACTAAGCAATGATGGAAATCTCTTCAACCAGAGTATTTTGATACAGTTCTACAAGTTTTCTGACAGTATAATCACCAAAAAACACAAGTCAAAATTGAAGAAGATGGAACAAAATTCAACTGTTTGAATCCAAACTGAAATAAGGAGAATCAGAAATTAGTGGAATAACCTTTATCACTCAGTAAAGCGGGAAATAAATGCAAAAATGCAAAATATAAAATACTAAAGCAGACATAATTATATATATAAAAGTATTTTTAAAATATTTTTTATTTGGGGGTTAAACAGCAAATTATCCACCCACTTGCCACTGTGCTTTCATGATAGAAAATATATGGCCTTGAGCACTGAAACACTTTTCTCTTTGCTACTCTGATTGCATTTGTGCTCTATTCCAGAAAGAACTGTTTAAATTTGGTGGTTATTAAATCATCAACATCCATATAATCCAATTTAGATATAAAAGAGAGAAATTATTAGCATGACCATGACTTTCAGCACTGAAGCCTGGATTCTTGATATATTCTTGCTTTAAACATCTACAAGGCAAAAATGTGATGTTCCTGACAGTATGGTGCAGCAGAAACGAGGTCTGGAGAAGGCATGAGTCACTCACAAGCCTTTTGCAGCAGGGATGAGCAGTCTAAAATGTAAATACTGGACAGTTCAATGTATGAACAGCTTGAGATCTGTAATTTGCAGAGCGATTTCCACAGGTAGGGTATCCTCAGAAGTCTGAGTATAAATAATAAGGCACATCCTTCACTATTTAAGGTCTTCTGAGACCTTAAAAAGTAGACATACCCTTGATATTTAGGGCATTAAATGAAAACAAATACTTGAGAAATCATTAATGATATAATATTTTTGAATCTATGAAATTATGAAAAATAAAACACTCGTCACTGACCAGTCACAATAAATGAACATCATGAATACAATGAAATTTCTTCAAAATTCAGACCCAGAAATTAATAATTTTGCTATTGAAACTGCACCACTTAAAATAATAAAATGAAGTTAAACTTGCAACCCACAATTAGATACTAAATATAGACCACTGAGCAAATCTTAAAACCAGTGCAAAGATATTCAGAATGTTCTATATTTTTAAAATAAAAATACTATTTTATATTCTCAAGTAATGATTCAGGGATATAACTTCACAGCCCAGTTCTGAAACTGTTATAGAATTCCTCTTTTTGGAGGTTTTTAGCATGTACCTGTGACACATGAACAATCCCCCTCAAACCCCAATTCTAATCCTTGCTTGCTTGTTTGCTTTATATTACCCTAGCATTAGTTTCCAGTACAATATGGTGTTTTTTCTGGTTTGTTTTTGGTTTTTTTTTCCTCATGTGGAATGGAATGTAAATCGGGGCTGCAAGGCAGATCACAAGAAAATGAAATAACCAAGTTTAGATAGATGACTGAAAATTCTGTTCCAACATTTATCCATGCTAAGATGTAGCCACAAAACACAGCACCTGAGCTACCTTGTCGATGCTACAGATGGTACTTCAGCTTGGGTATAGTGTGCTATTTTGAGAACTCGTGTTCCAGAAAAAGAAATAAGCACAGGAAGTAAGAGACAAGTTGTCTGGCTACCATGTGAAAGCAGATTAGAAAACTGTGGCTTTAGTGAGCTGAACATGGCCTGATAGGGAAAATGACTGCAGCCTAGGAGAACAGAAGGTGATAAAAATCAAGGAGCAGATAAAACTGAACTACAGCTCAGTCCTGGCACCAAAATAAATAAACTAAGTACAAATGCAGGTAGCTGAAAAAGTTACAGTCACCATGCATTAAGGAGTAGTCAGAAGGACCTCTCTGTCACAATGAGAGAAAAAAAAAAATCACCTTAATTACTTTAAAGACAGAGTTCAATACATTTCAAAGGGATTACATGATGTGCTATACATGAAACATCCTTTATAATAGTGAATCTCCTAATCACAAAATACGTCAGTCACAATTTCTTAAAAACTGAAATGTGGTATTTCTTCTCAGCACCATAAGTTCTGATCTCTGAAAGTCTAGTGAAAAATTCACAATAAGAATATTTAGGAGTTCATGACCTGAAGTGAAACTATTCTTGGATTTCATTCACATTATTTATAATGCATAATGTTGCCATTATGCTGCAAAAAGGAACACACCTTCCCTCCCCAAATACACCTGGAAAATGTAATTACATTTTAACCTCTATTATCATAATCATCTAATCATACTGTTGACTATTTCATTTTATATAAGCATTTGATTCTATGTATTTATTGAATATTAATGAACACATTAATCTTTACTTTTCCAAAGTAGTCCTACTCAGAAATAGTATTACACAACTGAAGGTTTTGTGTATTTTTTTTCTGTAACAGTTCTTTCTCGAGTACCAGACTATTCACTTGCTTGTAAAGCATTTTCAAACAAACCCAGTTAATTCTGAATATGGTTCACTAAGCAGCATGATCTCATTAATAAAACAAGTTGCTACTCTAGTAAATCAGAACGCTCAGCTGTTTTAACTGTTTCCCTAATGGAAATTCTAATGATCTCTTCAGTCAGCCTCACAGAAGCCTAACACTTTTGAAACAAGACCCAGCAAAATAAAGAAGCAATGAAAATAATGGAAACAGTGCGACTTCAGACTTAGCATTCTGTCACAAATAAATGTTAACTAACATTGGATCTGCATTTTTGAGGTTAATTGGAATATTTTTCCACCACTTGAATTTTCATTAGAGAGGTACTTTTGTCTGTTGTACTGAACTAAACAAAATTTTTGAGTGACAAATTTGTGAGTTCATGGGATTTCTAGCACAAGAGAGAAGGAAAGAAAGAAAAAGCTTGATGGATGACAAAAAGAAAAGAATACTCTGCAGACATATATTCAAAATGTTCTCATATGTTGCATAAGAAAATAATAAATGGATAACAAGTGAGAAGGAGGCTAGGTCAAAGGGAAAACTTAACCAGAAGCAGTCTTTTGCACCAAAATAAAGGTTCTGCATAACAAGACATTATCTCAGGGTCTTAGAGTGTGATGTTCAGTTTGGGATGAACCTCTTTCTTAATGATGATAAGAACATAATGCTTCTAATCTGCTGAGACTGAAATGTGCTACACACCCAGTGCATTTGTAACATCTACAATACATCATATCCTCCTGTGGGCACTCTCAAAAATCAACTTCCTTCAAGGGAAAATGCTGAGTTAGCAAGGGGTTAGATAAAATGAGACAAACACTTTTTTTTTTCTTTCACGGATCCATTTTCTTTTCATAAACCTCATTTGAAGCTGCTCAAGGATCCAAGAATAGTGCCAAGAAAGGTGCACAAGCAAAGAAAAGAAGAATGGGTAAGGCTTTGTAACACCTCTGTATCCACCTAGATACACTAATGTATTATTTAATAATAATTAACCTTTATTTCTATATAATATAATATATATATAATATATATATAGTAAGTAACCTATATTTTTCAAACAGAGAAAAGGAGTTGAAGTTTCAGAGAACATGCACATAAGCTCTACTACTTTTTACATAGCAACAAAAAGCACCTTTAATTCCTTAATGACATTCTGTTTTGTAAATCAGATCTTAGACACCTTTCTTCAGTATTCAAAGCATTGAAAGTAATGTGCAGGAAAAAAATTGCTATTTAAGCTGCTACAGCTTAGTGTGTTACTTATCAGTTGTATCTTTTGTTTCATATTTGCACCACACAAAAATTTTGTTTCCCTTTCAGTTCAGCAGTCTTACAGTCAAGAAATAGCAGTTGAAATCTTAAAAAAGTTGACTAGAAATATTAAAATTCAAATGACATGATTTATTATTTTTAACTCTAGGCCATGAAGTAGGTTAGTGCTGCATTAAAAAGAAACCTCTGGCTTTACTGTTAGACAGACCTAACTTCTTTCAACCTAAAATCCAGTAATTCAATCCAGCAATTCAAATGTACCAGTACAATTATTTTAACAGCACTTTTTTCTTATGCACGAGTAGTAATTTATAACATAAATCCAGAGTTTGGTCAAGTTATTCAGCTGACACTATCTACTTCCAAAACACCAGTCTGGAATTAATTCTTCATACCCATTAGTTCTTCATACCCATACCCATTACCATTTGAATCACATAAGAGGAAAATGAAATAAACGAGAGTTATTATTTTCCTTATGATGCTCAAAGAGCTTGCAGGATGAAAAGCATACAAATTGGAGCTGGACACACAGCAACTAAGTGGTTATTCTGTCACACTGCATTTCACAAATAAAAGCATCCTCCAGGTCCTTTGATTAAAACATGAAACAGGCAAAATAAGCAATACTTGCAAGGCATCGTTTACGGAACATCTCTTGTACAGCTCAATGGCTAATCATATTTCTTCCACAAGAATTTAAAAGTAAGTCTGATACTCCTGCTGGTCATAAATACCAGATGGAAATTTATGAGCACTTAATGAAAATTCTTAGTTAACCAGAACAACAGAAACATCTGAACAAAGTTGTCCACTTAACACTAGAAATCCTCCTTAAATGAACTGCAAAACAATATAGATTACCCAGACCTGAAAATTTCTTAAACCCTAGAGAAAAACAGGATATAGGCTAATCAAATCATACCTGGATAAATTGCTTGGTTTTCACAAGCCCCACGTCTCCAGCCTCTATCTGTGCTCTTGACAGCTTCTCTTCAGTTTCACTTAGCCAATGATTAAATCTCTTCATGTCAGAATGAAAAATCTGCCACTTTTCCAAAGATTTGTCAAACCGTCTGCAAGTATAAAAGGAGATGAAATAACAACCTATTGATACTTTATTTATTGACCACAGAAAAAAAGTAAAAAAAAAAAAATGTTGGATGTCTCAGGTTAATTATAATCAGTATAATATTCATGGTATAATAGATTAGCATTTATAACAGTTATATCAAATGGCAATATGGCAGTACCTCTGAAGTGAAATTATCACTAAGCAAATGCATTACAAATCAGTGTTTTATCAATTTTAAAATCCTTTTCAAGAAAATACAATGGTCTTGAAGTGAATTTACACTTGCATTTTTCAAATGGACTCTTTATTAAAACTTCTTTCCTATGTTTCATTTTGAGTATTTTTTAACCATAATTATGCAAAAAAAAAAAAAAAAAGAAGTCCTGAAATAAAAGGATAATTGAAAAACAAAATTTAAAAACCAGGGTTTTGAATAATAAACAAGAATAAAAATATTTCCACCATGTCTGCAAGTTTACAGTTCACTACAAAAAGATTAGATAAGTACTTCCAGCACTTTGGGAAGATCTGACCAGTTTTTCACTGGAGTGACTGATTGATCTTCTGCTTCAAGAACTGTTTGACTTGGCCACTGCCAAATGCTAAAGAAATGAAATGAAGACAGATTATAAAACAGATTTTAAGGGGGGCTTGCAGATAGCCTACATCTTAAGAAATTCAGTTATCCTGTGTGTTAGATTTGTGTGGAAATGTAATCACTAATCAGAGATTAGCCAGAATGTTTTGTTAGAAGATCATCATTAAATGTGCTACTCTTGTTTAGTTTAATAATCCTCCTTTACAGGATTATAATAGATTTTAAGGTGTACTTAAAGGATAAAAACAAAGATGCTCAATTATTTCTCTAGGAGATAATCTGGTTCTGTATGGGCAAACTATACGATTATTTGAATGTTAAGAAGTTTAATTCACCAAACAAAATGACATTACTACAAGGGAATACAGATAATCTTTTCCATTTTACTGGTTATTTTCATTTTTTAGGAGAATATGTAGGCAGAATATTGACCTTATTAAATATTGTAGTCACTTATCTAACTTATTTACTAAAATTACTGTGATAATTTATCAGAGTTATCATATTTTATTGTTCATAATTAGTCAAACCATAATTAAAAGGCACATTACAACAGAGGTTGTTTTTTTTTGATATTATTTTTATAACTACTTTACTCAGAGTTACAAGAAAAAAAAATAATTTTACTTTAAAAATCATGCAGCAAATAAAATTCCATTTCTTTTGGTCCAGAATCATGTCTCATTTTGGACACTACATTAAAACATATTTTCTCTTGTTCCTCACAAAAAAAAATTACTCTGCTCAGCATGGGAGTCTTATCAGAAGCTTAAATGTAAAAGAATCAGTAGGGGTTGATATTAGTATCATTGAATTTGCATTCCAAAACTTGCAAAATGAATCTCCCTTCACTCTGTGTTTTTCCTCTCTCTTTTGCTCTTGGAAATAACAGTTGTAAGGAGAAGGAAAACAAAAAAGTTGCAACAAAAAAAATATGCACATTTAAAGCTTAAAAGTTTTCAGTGGTTATTGTTCATGTCTAAAAAAACCTTGTTACTCCCAGTAAAAGTATAAACCAATAAAAACATTAGTAAAATCCGAGAGAATCTATCAACAGGCCAAGTGACTAATATGCAAGTCTCTTGCCGTGATTAAATACCTAAATACTGCTACAATGATAAGAGAAAATGTAATTTTTACTTCAGTGGTAGATGTGGGTGCATTTGAACATCATCAGGCAGCTTCCTGCTCTGGGAATTATGGGACACCTCTCCTGAGTGCACCTATGTGAGAGTTTCCCTTGCTGAATCTCTGTATTACGTCTGCTTACACATGATTCTACTTCCAATAGCTTCTTAAACTTTAAAAGCAAAGAGGCTTTTTTTGTTTGTTTGTTTTACCATGCACAATCCTGTTACCAGGTGGTAAGTTCAAAACCCACAAAAGGAGAAGCCTAATTAACTACCAACGCTGAACAGCTAAATTGCTGAAGCCTTGGCACAGCAGAAAGGAGAAGGAATTCGTAAGAGAGCAGTACTCTGAGGACTGTGGAAACTCAGAAATCGTGTGTTTGCCTCAGGGATCCCCAAGCACACAATTTGGAGTGGAGGAAAACTAAAGGCCTTGCACACCTTTACCTAGGGATCCACCCTCATTTGCCATCAGAGACAAGTCACTGATTTCAAATACCCCAGAGTTGCCATTCATCTGCATCTTCATCTGCCCAAACCCTTTCCCTCTGACAGGCACAAGCCAAAACAGTGGCTTTTGGGTGGCCACTAACAGTGGACAGTGGGTGACTGTCTGATATCTGGGCACTATTTCCTTTCTGATGTATCCTCTCTGGTTTTCTTAGCACATGCTCAATAACAAGGTGCAGACAGACACCCTGAAGCCAAGCAGGAGGTTCTGGATGAGAATGTGTGGCTTGCACACGTTACAAAGCACAATAAGCATTGCTCACCAGCTCTGACACGACAAGGCAGCTTTATTCCTCTATCTTTGGATTGATAAGCGAAAAACAACTGTCACACTGTCCCAGTTTTTTCATATATGTACTGACACTCCAGCAGGGACCATGTTAAGCAGTGGCTTGTGGGAGCAATTTCATTTTATCATATTAGTACATAATGGATTTATTTTGCCGCCAGAGAGCAAGAAGGGAAAAAAAAAATGAACCAAAGACAATTGCTGGGGTAATACACAGCAAAATTTACATTTAATCATGCAAGTATTGGTTGTTTCCTCCCTGCCTCTCTTCTGAACCCTTGGACCCGACCTTCTATAGGTGAAATTTAATATTCTTTGGTATCATTGTACATGATATTGCGCGGAGATTTACAAATGCCAATTTGGATGTAATGTCAGTGAAACTCCATAAAATGGGATTGCACTTGATGTTCTGTGTCACAAGACTGGTGTTTTTAAGAAGCTGTGCAAAGGTGAAAGGAAAGACCTCTGAAAACAGGTCATAAGATGGGGTACATAAGGTTATTGGTTTGTTGTAAACTAAGTCTTAATTTTGCATCTGTGTTTTGATTAATGCCTAGATATTTTGAAAACATTCCTTGATAAACTATGAAAACCACTTTTGTGATAGATTCTGGTTTAGCAAAACATCACAATCAATTGACCCACAAGAAAAAGATCGCTGTTATTTATAGGTTTTCCTAAAATACATTATTTATGTCATAGAAATTGTTATTGTAAGAAACATACGTTTTGTTCTTCATAATGGGAAAAACATTCTGTAAACTTCATTTCTATACTGTTGCTAAACAATGTGCTGTAGGATTATGTTAATATTAACCCACAAATTTCACAGTTCTGTTAGCTTGATTCAGCACAATTAGCACCTTGTAAAATATACACAAAACATCAAAGTAGTATATATAATTATGTATTAGAATGTGAGAGCATTAACTGTACTATTTAAGGCTATTCTTACAGATAACAAAATAAGAAAACTTGTTTTTGTCAAGCAACTTCCACAATTAAATTGCTTAAAGAAAGAGCTAACCCATTTTCAGAACTTTTGATGTTTTCATTTGACTTCACAGAATTCATGTGGATTCTTAATTTATATTTATTTTCTATATCCTCTCTGCATTTGGACTCTAAGCAAGTATCTCATTTTAGACACTGCTATATCTTGATCTTGATCTCAGGTTTTGCTGTGGGCCCATCCTGGGACAACACTCAGCTCTGCATATTCTATTCTCACCTTTGCAGTCTGTCTTTCACCCATCAACTACCAAATAAATAATGAACTGCAACCAAAACAACCATAGAAATGCCATCCATCAATTAAAAATTTAATTTCTTTCCTCTTCCCAGAAGGTAGATTCTCCAGCATGATATAAATTAAAAACATTCTACATTAAAATTACATTATAAATACTTTTTTTATCTTGAATTGTATTGATTGTATTATTCTTCTTGCCCTAGTTACTGATATCATACCACTCAGTGTCCATCCCTGTCAAAGAAAATGACAACTAAATTGGCTAAGAAAAAGCAAGGTCATGTCAGTCACTGTTGGTTTTAGGCATATACAAATCCATTTTTATTGTACATGAGAGAGCAATAAACTTAATAACCATTTACAATTAATAATTATACAGCAAATGCATTGGATTCTAATGGATGCTGTGCATCAATAGTTTAAATAGAAACACTCCATATAATTGATAAAACATACATTCTTTTTCTGCACTAATTAAAGCTATTTATTAGGCATATGAACTTCAAAATTCCAGTTCTTTATTTCCTACAAGTTTCCTTCATCAGGACAGAGATGCAATCATGGATTTCAGAGAATTTTGCCTCAACAGCTGGATTAAGTGTAGGTAACAACTTTTCCTTAGAGGAAATAAAGAAATGCTTGATTAAATGTAACCTAGGTGAAAGAGTAGCATGTTTTCCAACTCTCTTATTTGTTAAAAACATCCATGTAATTGGTAATAAAACCACAAATGTCATAACATTCTGAAGTGTAACCATCAAAAGCATGATAAGGAAACCCCAAATCAAAAATTTTAAAAAGAACAAACAGTGTCTCAGTTTTATGGAAATCCAAACCAGAATTTCTGCCTGTGTGTGCAGGGTATTTTACATATTTCATCCTCACAAAGGTGACAGTGCACACTGCACTTCTAGCCAGGATACTGCAGTGTGTTACTATTACCCACCCTATGGCTGCATCCATCTGATAAAATTAAATATGAGTGAAAAACCACATTAACTTCTGACTGTCAGGGCCATGTTCTCCTCCTCTCCCCACCCAGGGGCTCTGACCTGCTTAAGGCCAGTTCTGATGTGGCACAGCAGCATGAGTTGTCACATGCCTTTAGTGAGAAATGGCTGTGAGAAACCTCATCTGAGGTTTCTGCTCAGGGCTTCAGGGTCGTTTATAAACTCAGACTTTGACCTGGGCTACTCTGTAAGTGTCCACAGCACACCTT